TATCCACATAATGGAAGCCCTCCCTCCTACACCAACCCTGTAGAATGATGAGGGAGGATCTCATTGAAACTTACAGAATACTGACAGGCCTTGATACCCTGGACTTTGAGAACATGTTTCCACTAATAGGAGAGACAAGGACTCGAGGGCATAGCCCCAGAGCGAAAGGACGACCATTTGGAACTGAGATAAGGAAGAATTTCTTCAGCTGAAGGGTAGTGAATCTGTGGAACAATTTGTGGAGGCGAAGTCATTGAGTCTATTTAAAATAGTGATAGATAGGTTCTTGATTAGTGAGGGGATCAAGTGTTTCAGGGAGAAAGGAAGAGAATGAGGGTGAAAAACTCAACAATCATCAAATGGTGGAGTAAACCCACTGAGCTAACTGTTTTTTTATCCATGTGTGGGATGTGGGCGTCGCTGGCTGGCCAGCATTTGTTGTCTGTCCCTAGTTGCCCTTGAGAATGTGGTGGTAAGCTGCCATCTTGAACTGCTGCATTCCACCTGCTGTGGGTTGACTCACAATGATATTAGGGAGGGAATTCCAGGATTTTGACCCAGCGACAGTGAAGGAACGGCGATATATTTCCAAGTTAGGATTGTCAGTGGCTTGGAGGGAAACTTGAAGGAGCTGGTGTTCCCATGTATCTGCTGCTGTTGTCCATTTAGATGAAAGTGGTCATGGGTTTAGAAAGTACTGTCTGAGGATCTTTGGTGAATTTCTGCAGTGCATCTTGTCGATACATCTTGCTGCTACTGAGTGTCAGTGGTGGAGGAGCGGATGCTTGTGGATGTAGTGCCAATCAAGCGGGCTGCTTTGTCCTCGATGGTGTCAAGCTTCATGAATGTTGTTGGGGCTGCGCATATCCAGGTAAGTGGGGAGTATTCCATCACACCCCTGACTTATGACTTGTAGATGGTGGACAGGTTTGAGGAGTCAGCAGGTGAGTTACTCAACACAGTATTCCTAGCCTCTGGCCTGCTCTTGTAGCCACTGTGTTAATGTGGTGAGTCCAGTTGAGTTTCTGGTCAATGATAACCCCCAGGATGTTGATAGTGGGGGATTCAGTGATGGTAACAAACGTTGGATGCCAAGGGGCGGTGGTTAAATTGCCTCTTATTGGTGATGGTTGTAGCCTGGCATTTGTGTAGCGCGAATGTCACTTAGCATTTGTCAGCCCAAGCCTGGATATTGTCCACATCCGGTTGCATTTGAACACAGTCTCCTTCAGCGTCTGAGCAGACGCAAAAGGTGCTGAACAATTTGCAATCATCGGCAAACATCCCCACTTCTGACCTTATGATGGAGGGAAGGTCATTGATGAAGAGGCTGAAGATGTTTGGGCTGAGGACACTACCCTGAGGAATTCCTGTAGAAATGTCCTGGAGCTGAGATGATTGACCTCCAACAACCACAATCATCTTCTTATGTGTCAGATGTGACTCCAATCACCGGAGAGTTTGCTCCCTGATACCCATTGATTCCAGTTTTGATTGGGTTCCTTGATGCCACACTTGGTCGAATGCAGACTTGATATTAAGGGCCGTCACTCTCACCTCAACTCTTGAATTCAGCTCTTTTGTCCATGTTTGAAACAAGGCTGTAATGAGGTCAGGAGGTGAGTGGCACTGGCGGAACCCAAACTGGGCATCACTGAGCAGGTGCTGCTTTTTAGCACTATCACTTTGCTGATGATCGATGGGGAAGTAATTGGATGGATTGGATTTGTTCTACTTTTTATGTACTGGCCATACTTGAGCAATTTTCCACATTGTTTGGTTGATACCAGTGTCGTAACTGTGCTGGAACTGCTTGGCTAAGGGAGCGGCAAATTCTGCAGCACAAGTCTTTAGTACTATTGCCAGAATGTTGTCAGGACTCATAGCCTTTGCAGTATCTAATATCTCCAACTGTTTCTTGATATCACATGGTGTGAATCAAGTTGGCTGAAGACTGGTACCTGTAATGCTGGGGGCCATTGCAGGAGGCCGAGTTGGATCATCCCCTTGGCACTTCTGGCTGAAGATTCCTGCAAAAGCTTCAGCCTTATCTTTTGCACTGATGTGCTGGGCTCTTCCATTATTGAGGATGGGGATATTTGTGGAGCCTCCTCCTCCAGTGAGTTGTTTAATTGTCTAGTGACATTACCGTTACACTGCCTCCTCTCCTCACTGATGTAAATAATGACTGAATTAGTTAAGAATGATTGTACATTTAATTTACATTTTTAATTACTGCACAATTTCTTCAATAATCAGAGCTTTTGATACAGTCTGAAACCATTCAGCTTTTCATCTTTGTTCTACTGCAATCTCAACAATCAACCTATTCAGACATATTGTACCTCGAACTTTAGGCCAAATATGCTGTCTACTCTAATCCCCCTTTCATGTTTTTGTTCTTAAATTCCACGATTGACCCAGTTTCAGGGTGAATTACATATTCTGATGACTTTGCATAACCTCTTGTCTAAATTTCTAACCTGCATTTAGATCTTCATTAGGACCTGTTAGAAGATCTTCAAAAGTGGAAACAATCTTTATCTATTTATCCTTTTAAACACAGATCAAATGGAATCCTCTTTAGCAACTTCTCTCTTACCCTTTTTATAAAAAAGAAATCTGTCCACCTGTCTGTTCTCCCTCAATATTAGGTGATATTGGTCTTAAAACATTCCAGCTTCGAGATTTAATCGCAAGTTAATGATAATAATTGCTTCATAGAAGTAGGCTGTCTGCAATCTGAATATGAATGCAGTCTCTTGGAAGATTTTGTAAATATTGCAGCTGATGTTTAATTTTGTCCCAGTTGGAAAGTATTCACAGATTTCTACTTTAACTTTGGCTCATATTTATTGTGCTACCATTTATTTACTTTGTCTTTGTTTTCACACTACATAGATGGTGAAAGCAATCCAAGTGTTACGTATTCATCTGTTGGAGTTGGAGAAAGTTAATGATCTCTGCAAAGATTTTTGCAACCGTTACATTGCTTGTCTGAAAACTAAAATGAACAGTGAAAACCTACTAAGCAGTGATCCAGGAGGTCCTTATGCATCTGTTCAAACACAGGTAATGAATGGTGCCCCCTCTATAAACTGTCTGCCCTCCCTTGTACAATCCACCATTAGTATCTGGACTTAAGGTCTCATATTTTACCAATGTTTTATTTATCACTGATTAATAAAATAATTATTCAGGAAATTTCTGTTACTATTGCAGGATCTTTAACTGAGAAAGGTAATATTAAACTTTGGGATTTAACCTACAAACAATGAATTAGGAGTGGGAATGGGTCACTGAGCCCTTTGCATGTATTCCACCATTCAATAAGATCATAGCTGATCTGATTACTCCACATTCCTGCCTATCCCTGATAACCTTTCATCTCTTGCTTGTCAGAAATCTATTCATTTCTGCCATAAAAATATTTAAAGACTCTGCTCCCAGCATCTTTTGAGTAAGAGAGTTCCAAAGATTCACAACCATTCCGTTAGAAACAAGCTCTCATCTCTGTCTTATATGGGTGATACCTTACCTTTAGACAGTGACCACAAATGGAAATATCATCTCTATATCTACCCTCTCAAGTCCTCTCAAGCTCTTAAATATTTCGATCAAACAGATTAGATACAACCCTAATCTATTCAACCTTTCATCATAAGACAATCCACTCATTCTAGGTATTAACTCAACAACTCTTCTTTGAACTACTTCCAACGCATTTATGTCCTTCATTAAATAAAGAGGCAAATGCTGAAGATAATACTCTAGCTGTTGTCTCACCAGTGCCCTGAATAATTGAAGCAAAGCATCCCTACTTTTGCATTTATTCCCCTTGGATTAAATGATAGCATTCTATTAGCATTCCCATTTACTTGTTGCACCTTTATCCTACTCATTTCCAATTCATGCAATAGGACACTGCGATCACTCTGCATCTCAGAGTTCTGCAATTGTCACCGTTTATATTATATGCTGTTTTTATTCTTCCTGCCAAAATGGACAATTTCAATCTTCTACTTTGGTTACCAGATCTTTGCCCACTCACTTAGTCTACCTATATCCTTTCATAGCCTCCAGGAAACTATAGACTGGTGAGTCTCACATCGGTGGTTGGGAAGCCATTAGCTAGAATTCTTAGGGATAGGATTTATGCGTATTTGGATAAGTATGGCCCAATTAGAGACAGTCAGCATGGCTTTGTGCAGGGCAGGCCATGTGTTACTAACTTGAGTGAATTTTTCAAAGAGGTGACAAAAGTGATCGATGAGAGTAGAGCAATGGATGTTGTCTACATGGATTTTAGTAATGCTATTGACAAGGTCCCTCATGGTCAGCACATCCGGAAGATTAAGATGTGTGGATCCATGGTGACTTGGCCACAGAATTGGTTTGCCCATAGAAGGCAATGGAAGGGTGATTTTCTGGCTGGAGGTCGGTGACTGGTAATGTTCCACAGGGATCCATACCTGGTCCTCTGTACTGTTTGTGATATATATAAATGACTTGGTTGAAAATGTAGTGGGTTAGTAAGTTTTCAGACAATACAAAGATCGGTGGAGTTGTGGATAGTGTAGAAGATTGTCAAAGGATACAGAGGGATATAGATCAGCTGCAGATATGGGCAGAAAAATGGCAGATAGAGTTTAATCCCGTAAGTGTGAGGTGCTGTACTTTGGGAGATCAAATGTTAAGGAAAAGTATACAGTTAATATCAGGAACCATATGGCATTGATGTACAGAAGGATATTAGGGTTCAAGTCCATAACTCCCTGAAAGTAGCCACACAAGTAGGTAGAGTGATAAAGAAGGCATATGGCATGCTTGCCTTTAATGGTTGGGACATTGAGTATAAGAGTCAAGATGTCATGTTGCAACTTTAGTAGACTTTGGTTAGGCCACACTTGGAGTATTGCATTCGATTCTGGTCACCACATTACAGGAAGGATGTGGAGGCTTTGAAGAGGGTGCAGAAGAGTTTTGCCTGGATGCTGCCTGGATAAGAAGAGACTAGAAAAACTGGGATAACAAGGTGTAGAGCTGGATGAACACAGCAGGCCAAGCAGCACCATAAGAGCAGGAAGGCTGATGTTTCGGGCCTAGACCCTTCATCAGAAATGGATGAAGAGGTCGAGGGAGGGTAGGAGGCATTGGGGTGGTATCCAGGAGGAGGGGGTGTGTTGGAGGTGGGAGAAGGGGTCAGTAGAGAGAGGGTTAGGTTCACGGTTGAAGAAGTAAGCGTGGAGGCGGCGGAAAAACTGCTCAATGTCCAAACGTGACCGGTATTCGTTGATGTGTGGGTGGAGGGGGACAAAGGTGAGCCCTTTACTGAGGACTGACCGTTTGTCATCAGTAAGGGGGAGGTCTGGGGGGGATGGTGAAGACTCGGCAGGGCTGGGTGCTATTGTCTCCTCTGGAGCTGCTGGCTGTGGAGGCGGTGGGCGGAGCAACGTCGGCGTAGGCTGTGGGCGGGGTTGCGCCTGCGGTGGGCGGAGCGGGGTAGGTGGCGGCAACAGCAGTGACGGTAGGTGCGTCTTCAGTGTCTGTGGTGTTGGTCTCGGAAATGGAGGCGGTGGCATCAGTAGCGATGGCGTTCGCTGTCCCGGAAGTGGGGTACCCGGCGGTGGCGGATGTGATGTCATCTGTGGGTTCTCCAACAGTGGCCTCATGGCCAATGGCGGCAGACACATTGTGGGGAAGGTCCTGGGTAAGGTTGGGGATTTGGGGGGTGGAGGAAGCCTGTTTTGGGTGGCAGGCACCAGTAAGTTTACTGTACTTACGGTTTTTGGTGTCCAATAAAGCTGAGTAGAATTGTGAGTTCAGGTTGTGGATCCTACGAAGAATAAAAAACAGGAGAGGTCCTCTGCAGGTCTGGGAGAGGGAGGCTCTGAGCTGGGGTAGGCTTGATTGTAGTGCCCGGAGATGCCGGCGCATTGCTGCGAGTGTGTGTTTCAGGAGTTGCAGGGAGAAATGCTTCTGAAGGATCTCAATGCCGTGAATGTAGACATTGTCACAGTTGGGGCCAAATTGGGAAGGCCTGAATGTGGACTGTAGTCCATTGGGGATGATCTGGTTCCGTAGGCAGGTACTAAGAAAGGTGATGTGGCTGTAGTACCTGGTTTGCTTCAGGACATGGTCGAGCAGTTTCAAGGCCGAAGAGATTACGAGAGAGTTGCAGTGGGAGAGAGATCCCCTGAGGTTTGTCCAGAGAGAGGAGGGTAACTTCTTCAGGCTAGGCATCCTTAGAAGAGGCTTCGCAGTGGGGTTAAAATTGTATCAGAGATAGGTAGGAACTGCAGATGCTGGAGAATCTGAGATAACAAGGTGTAGAGCTGGATGAACACAGCAGGCCAAGCAGCATCATAGGAGCAGGAAGGCTGACGTTTCGGGCCTAGACCCTTCATCAGAAATGGCTAAGCATCCTTAGAAGAGGCTTCGCAGTGGGGTTAAAATTGTATCAGAGATAGAAAAACTGGGGTAGTTTTTTCTGGAGCAGCAGATGCTGAGGGAAGGCTTGATAGAAGTCTGTAAAATTATGAGATGCATTGATAGGGTTGATGGTCAGAAAATTTCTGCCAGAGGTGAAATATCTAAAACTAGGAGGCATGCATTTAAGGTGATGTGATGGGTAGGTCCTTTACATAGAGAGTAAAAGGAGTCTGGAATGTGCTGTCATGCGTGGTGGTGGAGGCAGATACGATAGGGGCATTAAAGGGACTTTTAGATAAGCACATGAATATGCAAGGAATGGATGGATATGGACCAAGGGCAGGCAGAAGAGTTTAGTTTAATTTGGCATCAGGTTCGGCACAACGTTGTGGGCCAAAGGGCCCGTTCCTGTACTGTGCGGTTCTATGTTCTATATCTTCTTGATAAGTTACGTTCCTACTTATCTTTGTGTCATCAGCAAATTTACCAACTGTACCTTCAGTTCCATCATCCAAGTTATTTACATAAGTTGTAAGTAGTTGAGGCCCCAGCACTGATCCGTCTTCCACATCACCCAGTGCGTTTGCTAACCAGAAAATGATCCATTTATGCCTACCCTGTGCCAGCTAACAGGAAGCAATCTTTTATCCATGCCAATGTGCTGCCCCTTACACCACAAGCTTGAGTTCCTTTGATGTGGCACTTTATTAAATGCCTTCTGAAAATCAAAGCACAGTATATCCATCAGTTCCCCTTATCCACAGCATACATTCCTTCCTCAAAGAACTCCTATAACTTGGGTGAACACGATTCCCCTTTCACAGAATCATCTTGACTCTGCAGATTACCTTGATCTTTTCTGAGTGTCTTGCCACAATGTTTTTAATAATTTGTTCAGTAACACCTTCCCAGTATTTGTAATTTTCTTGAGTTCCCTCTTCCCCTCCACTTCCTAATTTGTAGCTATTTTGGGGATTTTACTTGTTTCCACTGTAGTAGGGACCAATGCACATACCTGTTTAGTTCATGTACCCTCTGCTTATTTTCCATTAGTAATTCTCCATACTCAATTTCTACAGGAAAGGGGCAGCACATTGGCATGGGTACAAGATTGTTTCCTGTTAGCTGACATAGGGTAGGCATAAATGGATAATGCTCGCTTTAACTCTTCTCATTTTCAAATACTCTTAGAAAGTCTTACTGTCTGTTTTTATATTTCTAGCTCGACTTCTCTCTTATTCTAATCTTTTCCTCTCCTTATTAATTTTTTGGCTTTTTTTGGTTTTTATATTCTGTCCAATCTTCTGACTTGTGTCCCATCTTTGCCCAATTATAGGTTTTTTTGATAAGTTTGAGACTATCTTTATTACAATTGTGACAGGAAGAATGTGCTGTTAATCAGTCCCTATTACCCCACGAGTCATACCATAGTGTAAATGTTTTGTTTCGCTCATCAAAATGGCCAATTGTCTCACTTTTGTACTATTACCCAGAGCAGAACAATTTATTACAAAGGTTTGTTAAATAAAATTCATTCTTAAAAACAAAGTGACAACATTGATTTAATCTGGAATTATAGCTATATCTCCTTTTAATTCCAAAATGCAACAGAAAACACAACAAAGACTGCAGAAATGATGTTTAAAAAGGGAAAACCATCCTTATTGGCCAATGGTTTGAAAAACAAAGAATTAATCTGATGAATTCTCACAGTCTGTCAGGTTCCATTGTTCTCTCAAATGAATTGCTGACAGCCAACAGATGATCTTCCAAAAATGACTTCAATTTTAAATGACAATCAAGCTGAATGAAAGTCTTTGGATTGTGGCGACAGTTCAGCTTTTCAATGTAATTGAAAAACTGAGGTGAGGAAATTTTATCAGATCCCCAAGCACTTCAGTGAAGAAAGAGAAGGGGATAATCTTGCTGCTGCTTTAAAGTTGTTTTCTCTTCTCTGATTCCCTAGGTTTGTAGAAACAAAATACTGTCCAGAAAGATTACTAGACAATCATCAGCTCAGAGGCTCCATCGTCTCCTCCAAAGCTTTTTTTGGCTGTTTACCCCAAATTATTTGACTTTTCATAATTAGAAGGTGGATCACAGCCCATGTTAAATTGTTGGCATCGTTTGAAAAAATCAAATGAGTTCTCCTCAAATCCTTGGTACACACCCTTTTTAATCCAGAATGTGTTTAAACAATTAATTATCTTTTAGTTTTCCAAGTAGTCCATCAATATAGACATGGATTCCTATCATCTTTAAATTTTTTATTTAACCACAGATAGTAGGTCTTCTCCTTGGAATTGATTTTATTCATTGGGGAACGTATCTGAAATATCTCCTTCAATGTTTGCCAGTGTTGACCTATCCATTAATGTTGTTTGCCAGTCCAGTTCAGCTAGCTCTGCTTTCATGCCCTCAATTTCTCCTATTTAAGTTTAAAATATTAGTCTTGTGTCCACTCTTTCTTTCCTCAAACTGAATTGGACATTCAGTTGTATAATGATTGCTGCCATCTAGGGTTGCCCTCACTGTGTGGTTATTAATTAACCCTTCTCTCTTGCATCATCTCGACTCTTTGATGTTCACATCTCCCAAATTTAATCACTTGATCTTTCTATTTAGTTTAAAGCCCTTTCTGTTTCCCTAGTTATGTATCTTATCAGAAGACTGGCACCAGCAAGGTTCAGGTGTAGACCACCCCAATGATACAAGCCACTCTTTCTCTAGTGCTGGAACCCTCTTTCACTGCACCAAATCTTTGAGCATGCATCCCTTTCTTTAAACTAAAGCTGTTATAGTTATCAAACATGATTTGTCCTTAAGTAAGGCACTTCAGTTGTGGAAAGAGATGAAAAAGAAAAAGCTTGTTTTCTTTCAGGCAGAGACGATTAAGCGATGATTTGATAAAACTATTCAAAAGAATAATGAATTGGTTTGACAAAGTGCAAAAAGATTGCAGTGTTTTCATTGACAGGGTTCATAACCAGAGAACATTGATTTAACCTAATTGGCAAAACAAAACAAGAGGGAAGGCAAACATTTTCTTTACACAAATAATCATGATAAAAAGGATGATGGAGGCATTTTCTGTAGTAACTTTTAAAAGAAAATTAGATAAATACTTAACAGGGAAAATGTAAGTGCTGTGGTGAGAGAGCAGGAGGAGTGGGACTAACTGTATTCAAAGTCCTCAACTGCTCCTCGTGTGATAAGCCCTTCAGACTTGTAAACCTCCTCTGGAATCATCCAACACTTGAGTATCCTTCCTTGGACATGGGGTCTAAAACATCTCACAATATTCCAAATGCGTTCTGACCAGAGCCTTAGCCTCAAATGTAATCTCTTCTGTTGTATTCTAGCCCTCTTGAAATGAATGCTAACATTTGCATTTGCCTTCCTAACTGCCAACTGAACCTGTGTGTTAACTTTAACAGGAGCCTGAACTAGGACTCCCAAATCCCTTTGTGCCTCAGATTCCCGAAGACTTTCCCCATTTAAAAAATAGTCTACGCCTCTATTCTCTCTACCAAAGTGCATAACCTCACATTTTCCCACAGTGTATCCCATCTCCCACTTCTTTGCCTATCTTCCTCACCTGTCCAAGTCCTTCTGCAGCTTCCCTGCTTCCTGAGCTCTATCTGTTCCTCCACCTATCTTTATGAGATATGCCAACTTAGCAACAATGCCCTCAGCTCCTTCATCCAGATTGTTAATGTATAATGTGAATAATTGTGGTCCCAACACTAACCCCTGTGGAACTTCACTGGTCATCAGCTGCTATTGCAGGTGTAGTTCCTGTTTATTCACTTGTCAGTTCTTAGACGGAGATGTAAATTAAGCTTATTTCCCTATACCCCACAACTAACTAGAAAGACAAGGAGCAGATATTTGGGAAAACAACCACCTGAAAGTTCCCCTCCAGGCCAGACACCACCTTGACTTAGAAGAATATTGCTCTTCCTTCACTTGGGTAAAAATTCTCAAATTCCCTCCCCAACAGCAGGGACTTTCATTTTGGCTGGTGAGGTTCTAGAACATGTTAAGATCAATAAAGAGGAGGTATTAGATGTTTTAGCAGGCATAAAAGTGCATAAATCCCTTGTCCTGATGAGATGTGTTCCGGGATCCTATGGGAAGAGATTGCTGGGATCCTGCCAGAGATACTTAATACTTCACTGGCCACAGATGAAGTGCCAGATGACTGGAGAGTAGCTAATGTGGTTCCTTTGTTCAAGAAGGGCTGCAGGGATAGGCCAAGTAATTATGGACCAGTTAGTCTGACATCAGTGGTAGAGAAATTATTGCAAAAAATTCTGATGGACAGGATTAATCAGGGATAGTCAGCATGGATTTGTTAGAGAGAGATCCTGTCTGACTAATTTAATTGAAGTTTTTGAAAAGGTGACTATATTGATGAAGGTAGTGCGATTGATGTGGCTTACATGGACTTCAGTAAGGAAAAGGTCCCACATGGGAGGCTGATCCAGAACATGGGATCCAAGACAAGTTGGCAACTGGATCCAAAATTGGCTGCAAACAGGGGATAAAGAGTGATGGTGGAGGGTTGTTCTTGTGAGTGGAAGCCTGTAGCCAGCAATGTAGTATAGGGATTGGTGCTGGGTCCCTTGCTGTTTGTTATGTACATTAATGATTTGGATGTGAATGTAGAAGGTATAATTAGTAAGTTTGCAGATGACATGCTGTTGTTGATAGTGAGGAGGATGGTCTCAGGCTACAGTCTGAAATTGATCAGCTGGTAAAGCAATGACAGATTTTAATTCCATCTGATAAGGGCGAGGTGATGCATTTTGGGAGGTCTACAAGGGAAGGATATACACAATGAATGGTAGGTCCCTTGGGAGTACAGAGGAAAAAAGGGACTTTGGTGTCCAAGTCCATAGATCCCTGAAGATGTCAGCACAGGTAGACAGGATGGTGATGAAGGCATACAGGATGCTTGTCTTCATGAGCCAGGCATAGAATAAAGGAACAAGGAATGAATGTTACACTTTATAAAACATTGGTTAGGCCACAGATGGAATAATGTATGCAGTTCTGGTCACCACATAATCAGAAGGACGTTATTGCACTGGAGAGTATGCAGAGGAAATTCAGGATGTTGCCTGGGATGGAAAGGCTCAGTAATGAGGGGAGACTGGACAGACCGGGTTTGTTTTCCCTGTAGCAGAGGAGGCTGACGAGGTGGGGATCTGATTGAGGTATACAAAATAATGAGAGGCACAGATGGGGTTGATCGTGAGAATCTTTTCCCCGTGGCAAACATTTTTAAAACCAGGGGTATAAAGTTTAAAAGTGAGGGGTAAGTGGTTTAGAGGTTGGCTGAGGAAAACCCTTTCACTCAAAGGGTGGTAGAAATGTGGAATGTGCTGCCTGTGAAGTTGGTGGAGGCAACATCGAAGTAGCATGTGGATGAGCACTTAAAATGCCAGGGCATAGTAGGCTATGGACAAAGTGCAGGTAAATGGGATTAGTGTGGTTTGGTATTTGTTTGTTGGCCTAGATATGGTGTGCCAAAAGGACCTTTTTCTATGGTATACAACTCTATGGCTGCAACGGTTTAAGAAGGCTGCTCGCCGCCACCTTCCTCAAAGGAATTGGAGATGGGCAATAAATGTTGACCAAGCCAGTGACATCCACATCTCGTAACAAATAAAAAGAAGTCAGAAATCCCCAAAATGTGACAGTGACCATGTGATTACAGCTTTCAAGATTCAAAGTGAAATTAATGACTAATGTTCCTTTTTATCATTCTTTTGCTAAACTGTTCTCCACCAGCTTCCTGTACAGAACACAACCATCACCACCTTACCTGGCACCATCAGTCCTCAGGGCATTGTCGTTCCTGCCTCAGCTTTGCAGCAGGGAAATGTCACAGTGACGACAGTAAACCCTACTCAAGTTGTAACAGGTATGTGAACCATTATACTCGGGTAAACCCATGGGTCATTCGTTCATATCCTTTCATGTCAAACCAACATCCAGTGTTGGATGGGCAAAATTTCCCTGCAGCTCAATGCTGAGGAGGCTGCGCCAGGTTAGCTATGATCCTGTTGAATGCTGCAGAAGTTCATAAAAGTGGATAGTATGGATGCTTAGAAATGTCAAATGCTAGGTGTCATAGGTTTAAGGTGAGAGAGGGGGAAAGTTTAAAGGAGATGTGTGAGAGTAAAGTTTTTTTATTCAGAGGATAGTAGGTGCCTGGAATGTGATGCTGGGGAGGTGGTAGAAGCTGATACGATAACAATTTTTAAGAAGCATCCAGACGGATAGATGAACAGTCAGGGAATAGAGGGATATGGACCATGTGTAGGCAGCTGAGATAAGTTTAGAATGACATGAACAGACATGGTTGGCTGAAGGGCCTGCTACTCTGCTATACTGGTCTATGTTATGGGTGCCGTTCACGTTGTTCCTTATCCATGTATCACTAGGACCTTGCCATTTCCCAACTACCCCCCAGAATAAATCTTTGGAGGCAGGTGTCCCATCACCAACCACCCGTTAGTCAGAATGCATAGCCTTTGACAATAGCGCTGTCTCTCAGAGTCAGGCATTCCAAGGCTCAGTATCCCTGACATTCATCCAGGTCAACCAGGTCCCCCTAATTGAGGCTGAGTATCTGGTCCAATCAGGGAGCCCATATTCTGTCAGTCCAGCTGGCTGACCTTATTACAATCACTATGTCCCTCCCTGTGAGTCCACAGACACAGGGCAGCCCAATTCCTTTGAGAGCCTCTGGGGCTTTTTAACACCAGGTCAGATTCCTCCAACTTGGATTCTAACATTTTGAGGAGTATAACGAATGGGAGCTCACCTTTTGTGTCAGGAGTGCCTCAGTAGGCTTTCATTCCCTTCTTCTAGAGGCAGACGTGTCAAGGCGGCTATTTCTGTCATCTCCATCTCTGATTCAGACGACTCAATAATGTTTAAAAACCAAACGAACTGCGAATGCTGCAAATCAGGAGCAAAAACAAAGTTGCTGTAAAAGCTCACCAGGTCTGGCAGCATCTGTGAAGGAGAAAACAGAGTTAACGTTTCTGGTCCAGTGACCTTTCCTCAGAGCTGGTTCCTCAGATTCCAACAGAGTTGTTGGAGAGAGTGAGTCAGTGGGTCCTTGAAGTATTTCTGAAGGCTCTGATGGGTAGGGCAAGTTTTGCTCCTGCACAGTGTGCGAATTTGCAGATTTCAAATGATCCATATGATTGATCAGGACTGTCATACCTACTCAAACTTTATAAATCACTGGTCCAGATCTCATGTCGATCATGCCTGTTACCCATGTGGGGTCATTTCCGTGATTCTTGCACCAGACTTTGTCTCTCTCACCTGGTGGAGTCTTAGGTTCGACATTGGATTTCCTGATGTCTATCAATCTCTTCGCCCCCGTCCAGGTCTGGGAAGATCAGACTTAGCCTGGTGCGGAGTCTTTTACCCGTTAACAAATTTGCCGCTGCTATCCCTGTAGTTGCGTGAAGACTAGTCCTATAATCAAACAAGAACTGTGACAACTCAAAAACTGGTGAGGCTACAGGCTGTATCTTCAGTCCAACCTTCAAAGTTTGGACTGCTCTTTCTGCCAGGCCATTAGATGATAGGTGGTATGGAAGTGTCCTGATATGTCCAATCCCTTTGACTTTTAGAAGTATCTAAAATCCTTGCTGGTAAACAATCGCCCGTTATCTGTGACTTAGTGTGTCGCAAAAAATGTTCACAATTTTTCTATTGTTGCCCCAGTGTTTGACAAATGGACTGTATGCACATCCAACTACTTTGAGTGGGCATCTACATTGATTAAAAAACATTGAGCCCATGAAAGGACCTGTGAAGTCAATTGTGCAGCCGAGTCCAAGGTTTACCCAGCCACTCCCACGGTTGTGGGGAAGATGCTAGTGGTAATTTTTGTACTTGTTAGCACTCTGGGCACTGCCCCACCCACATGGCTATATCTGTGTCCAAGCCTAGCGACCAGACAAAACTTCTTGCTGACATATTCAATTTGGAGGCCCCTGGATGGCTCTGGTAGAGTTCAGCAGTATTTGATGGTGACCTTTGCTGAGGACAATCACTTTTGCTCCCCATAACAATATAATGTCCTCTGCCGTGAGCTAGTCTCTCTGGGTTCAAAAAAGGTTTTAATTCTAACTGCAATGGCTGTTTTCCCCCATTAATACCAATTGTTTCAGTTTAGAAAGGAGTGGGACTTTCTCTGTCCAAAGTCTGATATTGTTCGCTGTGACTGGTGGTGTGTCCAGACAATTCAATGTCATGACCGACTCTTCCACTGGGGGTATCACAGGTGGTAGATTTGCTAATGGCTCAATACATCCACATTCACTGCTCGGCCTCCCAGATGGTGTTTATAATTACAAGCATGTAGTATTAGATCCCACTGCTGAATGTGACCCAGAGCTATGGGTGGCACTGCGTTATCCTCTTCAAGCAGACCAAGTAGGGGTTTGTGGTTTGTGATTATCACGAATTTTCATTCATAGAGTTATTGGTGGAATGTTCTGACTCCAAATATGACCATAAATTCTTCTTTTTCTATATGGACATACTTACGCTGTGCATTAGCCAAAGTCCTGGATGCATAAGCTATTGGGTGTTCCTCTTGAGTGGGCTACCAATGAGGTAATATAACCCCGATGTCATGTGGGGAAGCATCGCATATGGATACCAGATCTTCCTTGGGATCATAGTGTGCTAACATATTAGAGGATAATAGTTGTTTCCTTACTTCATTGAAAGCTAGGGCCTGTCTGTGCAACCATTTCCGAGGCTGACCCTTTTTTTAGGAGTTGATGCAAGGGTGCCAGAATGGATGCCAAGTTGGGTAGGACCTTTCCGTAATAATTTACCAGATCCAGATATGACCTAAGCTCCTAGACAGACATGGGGGTCAGGGCATCTTTGATTGCCCTTACTTTATCTTCCAACAGGTATAACCCAGTCTTGTTAACACTGTCGCCCAAGTAGGTCACTTGGGGGGCCTGGAACACACATTTTTTTCCTGCTTAGAAGTGTGCCTGCCTCAGAAAAACACCTAGGACTATATCCAAGTTCTCTAATTGTCCCTTATTAGTTTTCTCTGTTATCAGGATGTCATCTAAGTAAATGCTGACCTGAGGTAGACCCTGCAAAATGTTCTCCATTGTCTGAACAGACTGACGATACCCAAATGGCAGACCCGAACATTGGTAGACGTCTTTATGGGTATTAATTGTAGCATATCTCTGAGAATCCCGGTCTAAACATGATTGCCAGTAAGCATGGCTCATGCCAGCTTTGTGTACAAATCCTCTATCCAAGGGTTTGGATATGTATCCAACTGTGAGAAACAGTTTATTGTTGTTTAAAGTTCCCAAAGGTGAACTGACCCATTGGGCTTCAAAATTGGTATGATAGGTGCTGCTCATTCCCTGAATTGGACTGGTTTGATGATTCCTTCATCTTCCAGTCTTCTGAGTTTGCTTCTACTTTTTCCTATAAGGCAAATGGGATAGGACAGGCCTTGCAGAATTGGTGGAAAGGCAGGTTGTGAGAGGGATACACCTAGTTTACAGAGAGATATTGATAGGTTAAGTAAGTGGGCAAAAAGTCTGCAAATGATGTGTAATATAGAAAGGTATGAAGCTGTTCATTTTGGAAGAGAGAACAAAAGGATAGAATATTATCTCAATGGAGAGACACTGCAGAAAGCGACAACATGAAGGGACTTGGGGTTACTTGTGCGAGAAGCATGTGCAGCATATAATCAGGAAAGCTAATGGAATGTTGGCTTTCAAGGGGCTTAAGTATATGAGCAGGAAAGTCTTATGGCAACTGCTGGTCGGACCACATCTTGTGTACTGTCTAGCAGTTTTGGTTCCCTTATTTAAGGAAAGATAGCATTTCATTGGAGATGTTCAAAGAAGGCCCACTAAAATGATCCCTGGTATGGAGGGATTGTGTCATGAGCAAAGGCTAGACAGATTAGGACTATACTTACCGGAGTTTAGAAGAATGAGATCTCATTGAAATAAATAGGATTCTTAAAAGGCTTGACAGAGTAAATGTTGAGAGGATTTTCCCATTATGTGACCGTATAGAACTGGGTACATGGTCTCACAATAATGGGGTGGCAATTTAAGACTGAGATGAAAAAGAATTTCTGTGTTTGGAACTCCTTGCCACAGAGAGCTGTAGATTAGCGTTCTGGTGTATATTTAAAGTTGAGATAAATAAATTCTTCAATGCAACAAAGAGCTGCAGATGCTGGAGACCTGAAACAAAAACAGAAAATTGCTGGCAAAGTTCAGCAGATCAGGCAGCACCTTTGAGGAGAAAACAGTGTTAACAATTTGATTCTGGTGACGCTTAATGAGAAGATAGATTATTGATCAGTCAGGGAATCATGGGTTGCAAGGCAAGGCAAGGCAGGAAAGTGGATACGCAAAATGTTGGATCAGCTATTATCCTATTGAATGGTGGAGCAGGCTTGATGGGCCGAATGTGGTCTACTCTTGTTCCTGTTATTTTTAATGATCTTATTGTTGCTTTCATGTTGAAACATTTGTTGGGGATTCAGTCCTCTTACCAATCTATTCTCGCTTTCCATTTTTTTGATATTGAACATCGAGAGTTTAGACTTCTTCATGGCAGCACAATGGCTCAGTGGATAGAACTGCTGCCTCACAGCGCCAGGCACCTGGGTTCAGTTCCATCCTCGGGTGATTGTCTGCGTGGAATTTGCACATTCTCCCCATGTCTGCGTGTGTTTCCTCCGGGTGCTCCAGTTTCCCCTCTCAGTCCAAAGATGTGCAGGTTAGGTGGATTAGCCATGATAGATACAGGGTTACAGGAATCGGGGAGGGGTTGGTTTGGGTGGGATGCTTTTCGGCGGGTCAGTGCAGACTCAATGGGCTGAAAGGCTTCTTCCCGCACTGTAGGCATTCTTTGATTCTATGACCTAGTATTTCACATGCTAATGATTTTGTAAATTGAAGTTGTTCACAACAGAAAAGTATTTGCAACTTACCCTGTTCCCTTTCTTTAAAAGGTGGTGGGGCAGTTTATCAGCCTGTTACTGTGGTTACACCTCAAGGACAGGTAGTGACACAAACACATGGCACAATACGTATCCAGAATGCACAGGTAGGTTTATAGCTTCATATTGAGAGGGAGCTGGTAATGAGTGAGTGTATTATAAACAACGAAAAGAAGTTCTGGATTGGTCATTATACTGCTTTATGATAATTACACTTTTAATATTATTAATTCTATAGAACTGTAGCTTAGAGCAAAAGGTAAATCTGACATAATTAACTGGAAATATTTTATAGCACAGGAGCAGCATATAAGCTGGTAACACCAATATTCACAACCTACAGTCATAACGAGCAGGCTGGCTGCAGTGAAAGTCAGAATGTGCTGTCACAGGGTTCAGTGTGGTTATACAGATATTAGAAAGATACAGGTATAATGTGTAGGTTGGTAACACTGACTGAAAGTGTTGTTTCAGTACATAAACTGATTACATAAGATATCCAGATCACGGTATTGCCAAGTACACACTGGGTACATTGATGTCCAGAATGACCAGTCACAATACAGAGGCTTAATACACTGGTGCACAGAATGAATGGTTGCACTGGTTGAAGTCATACCTGAGACAAAGGTCAGTCATTTCGACTCCAGGACATCTTGCAGGAGTTCCTCACGGTAGGGTAGTCCTAGGTCCATCTTCAGCTGCTTCATCAATGACCTATCCTCCATCATAAGGTCAGAAGCGAGGATGTATGCTGATGATTACACAATGTTCAGTACCACTCATGACTCCTCAGATACAGAAATAGTCCATTTTCAAATGCAGCAAGACCTGGACAATATCCAGGATTGCGCTGAAATAGGAAGTAGTATTCGTGTCACACAAATGCCACGCAATAACCATTTTCAATAAGAGACAGTTTAACCATTACCCCATGACATTGCCATTACTGAATTCCCTGCTATTAACATCCTGAGGAGTTACCATTGACCAGAAACTGAACTGGACTAGCTACATAAGTACTGTGGCTACAAGAGCAGGTCAGAAGCCAGGAATACTGTGGTGAGTAACTCACCTGCAGACTCCCCAAAGCCTGTTCCCCCATCTACAAGGCACAAGTCAATGGAATACTCCCCACTTGCCTGGATGAGTGCAGCTCCAACAACACTTAAGAAGCTTGACACCATTCAGACATAGCCATTTGCTTGATTGGCACTACATCCATAAATATTCACTCCTTCCTCCATTGGCGCTCAGTAGCAGCAGTGTGTACCATCTACAAGATATACTGCAGAAATTCACCAAGGATCCTTAGTCTCTTCCAAATCAACGATATAGAAGGACAAGGGCAGCAAATACATGGGAAAAACAGCACCTTCAAGTTTCCCCTCCAAGTCATACACCATCCTGATTCGGAAATATATTGTCATTCCTTTAGTGTTGCTGTGTCAAAATCCTGGAACTCCCTCTGTAACAGCATTGTGAGTTTACTTACAACACGTGGACTGCAACAGTTTAAGAAGGCAGCTCACCACCACATTACGGATGGGCAATAAATGCCAGCCTAGTGAACAACAACCTCCCAGAAGTGAATTTAAAAAAATGTACAGGATGATTACATTAATACGAGATGAACAGTCACACTGTACAGACTGATGATAATTTAATGATGGGGTAGTCGTGAGAGGCTGACAGCTTCCAGTCATGTCACCTTCTGATAATGGCATAGCATTCAAACTGCAGAGTTATGCAGCAGAAATTATTCTGAGTTGCCTGAATGGGAATCCCTGGTAGTGACCGTGCAGTGTACTGTGACCTGATTCTCTGACTAAGGAACAGCTTGTACACACAGTAAACTGCTGAAGTAGACAGAGGTTTACTCTTTAGAATAAAGTGACTGAATTGACCTCTATTTGCAATTCTGTCATCCATGTTACTCCTCCATTTTCTCAGCTCTTTTCATGCCCAAGATTGGCAGCAGGGAAAGATTATCCTTTGTAACGCACACATCCTGAAATATCCTGAACTCTCTATTACAATAATAATCTCTTAAGAGGCTCCAGAGTTATTACTTCCACTAAAATAAAACAAAGAATTATGGATGATGGCAATCTGAAACAAAATGGAAACGGAAGAAGTGTTACTGGACTCAAAACGTTAACTCTGCTTTCTCTCCACGGATGCTGCCAGACTTGCTGAGTTTCTCCAGCAATATCCATTGGCCACAGTAAGAAGGCAGCCTGCCTTCTAGTCCAATTTCCAGCTGTAAGGCCTAGAATTCAAGATATGACTGTTCCACGTGTCATCCCAACAACTTTTCTGGGATTTAGTAGAATGGAAAGAAAACCCACAGTGAGAATTTACTTTTGCTCTTGCCTTTCCTGAGGAACAAGTAATACATAACCATAAATTGCTCCAGTCTCTCCTCAGGGGCTAAACTTTATTCTATTATGTGGTTTCTGAGCTGCCTAACACTCAGCTATCATGTTCCACCCATAGTTT